TGGTTTTAAAAAATTGAAAGTTTAAATATTAAAACGGACTAAAACTAATAGTTTAAGTACTAAATGTATAATTTACCCTAAAATCCACAATAGATTTTATGATTTTACAATTGAGATCATAAAGTTATTATATATTTAAAATGAATATGACCATTGGTTAATCTTGTAAGTATAAAGTTAAAATACCGACAATAGCCCTTTTCTCTCCGACGAAAAAAAAGTATCGAATTTTTTAGTCCATTGGGTCATATGTCAAAGCTGCAATCAAGTGTCGTTTCATGTCGATGCGTTTTTTATTTTTAATGTTTTCCCCTAAGATAAGGTTCTCTTATGATTAGGTGAATGTATATGTATGACTTTATTAGAATTATATTTGACCACTCATTTACTGAAAAATCTATATACAAAATATAATTTGTTTTCAAATAAGTACAAAAAATAAAATATTTTTTTATTAAATTAATGTGATTATAAGATAGGAAAATTCTCAATTATTTGATAATGAAAGATCAAACATTTTTTGCAATTTCTAACTAGAATTTGAAACCTTTTGAGATAATATCCATCAATTTTAATCACTAAAATAATTTAGTTCATGACAAAAATAATAAAATATTTTTAAATAAATAAACATGTATAAATTATATTTTGTAATTTCAATAAATTAAATTTATTCTTTTAATAATAACGTTATTATATTTTGTTCATGTTAATCTATATCCTTCGACGTATACTCAAAAAAGGACATGCAAATATGTTTCATTCCATAACGATAAGATTTTGTGAGAGTCAAGCTTATCCTATTTATTGTTTAAGAACAAAAAATCGTATATTGATGGTGTCGTAATCGATTTTCGTCCGGGCACGAATTTTTTTTACTTGGCGAGAAAAGTGATGTGAATAAATGATTTTTTTTTTAATAATTTGGGAGTCGCCATCGGCCTTTTGGATCAGGTAGGTCGAATACCTAAAAATCATCCTTTAAAAGAGTTTTTAACAAAACATAGATTAAAAGATAAACTGATCCGCGTTTTAACCAAAAATTCATTATTTTTAATAATAAAAAAAGGATCCGTGGTCGGTTACGTTTAGGGAATGATTAGCACCCCTACAACGCCCAAAATTGGTACTTTTTAATTATATATTGTCTCTATTATTAGAAATTTAAGAATTCAATGATATATTTAATTTATAATCCTATTATTTCAAATTATAATTATCAAAAAATATTAATTTATATATATTTATAAATAAAATATTTATTTATTTAGAAATATCAGAAAATGACTTCTAGGTGCCTTAAGACAGCTCTTTTCTTTGATATTAATAAATAATTAATTATAAAATAGGATATTTAGTAAAAATATCAGAAAACGGACTTCTAGGTGCTTTAAGACAGTCCTTTTCTTAAAAATAAATATATATTAAAATATGATTATTAAAAGTGATTTATGAAATATAGGATTTTAACAAATAAACAAATATTATTTATTATATATATATATATATAAATAATAATAATAATAATAATGAAATAATAATTAAAAACAATAATAATAATAAAATAATATTGCAAATAATGATTAAAATAAAAGGAAATAAAAATATAGTATTAAAAAAAATCATAGTCAAAAATAAAAATTAATGATTAAAATGTAAAATTATAAAACTAGAGTCCTAATTCGAAATATTATAAAACTTGAGTGCTAATAGTGTGATTTAACCTATATAATAATACGGGATTAAAATAATAATTAATAAACTATGAGGGACTAAATTTGATATTTACCTAAATATATATATACTGATAAGGACTAAATTAAAATAAAATAAAATTAGAAGACTAAATTAAAATAATCAAAAATTGCTTTCAGTGACTAAATTACAAGGTATACAAATTTGGAATACTGCAGACGGGGTTTACCCTTTATAAAATTACAGAAATACCCTCCCCCAAAACGGCGTCGTTTGGGAGAGGGTATTAGCCAGCCTCTCATTTCTTCCTTTCTCTTCTCTCTCAAACATAAAATGAGAGAAAGCCGTCCCGGTCAGCCACCGCTGCCGGGCTCCGACCACCGCTGCCGGCCACCGTTAATGGTGGCCGGAAATTACAAAAATACACCAAAATATAGATCGGGACGATCTAAAACTGTTTCCGGTGTTCTTTTTCCTTAAAAAGCTTCCAATCGAAGCAACTACAAAAGTACCTTCGGTTTTCGTTGTTTTCGGCGACGGTTGGGGTTCTCCGATGACAGAGTAAGTTTCTTTCCTCTCTTCTCTCTTTTTTTTTGTTGCTGCGTTGTTGTTGACTGGGATCGTTGGTAGTTTTTTTTGTATCTTGTTTCTGTTCTGTTTTTTTTTTCTCTCTGTCCTCTGTCTGTTTTTTTGTTTTGCAGGATCCAGTGGCTTTTATAGCCACCACCGGTGATGGCTTTAGACCGGTCCTAATGAGGTTGCTTAGGTGAGTCACCATAGCTATGGTGGTGACTCACCGTAGAGCTCGACATGTGGAGGGGTAGTTGGGTCTTCTGGAGCCTTCTGTTGAGGCATCGTGGTAGAGTAGACCGTCGGCAGCATCTGGTTGGGTCACCTGGCAGTGGAGTGTCGGCAATGAGCGGCGGCTGTGGCTTCTGGAAGCTTGAGGCGACGGCTGGAGCTAGGGTTTAGAAACCCTAGTTGAAACCCTAAATGTTTAGGGTTTCCTTTTGAGTCTGGGTCGGTTCTGGTTGGGCCTGGGATTTGGGCTTGTAATTATTTTTTAATAATAATAATAATATATATAATAATTATAATAATAATAATTATAATAATAATAATAATAATAATAAATAAATAAAATGGGTAAAAAAATTAGTATCGTCAGCTGCCCCTCTTTGCTCATTCTTATGTTAACAAGAATAGGGCAAAGACGAAAAGATAATAAAATTTTTTATCCATTTGACTTCACTTGATTATGATGGCAATGTTGAATAATTTCTTCTTTGGGATTAGTTCTTCTAATTATGAACTTTTCCACTCGGGATGACAATTTATCTCATTCTGTGATGTAATCTAGCAAAGGTTGAACAAGCTCTTCTTATTGTGAACTTCTTCTTCTTCAGATGAGTTCTTCTCATTGTGAACTCCTTCTGGAAATGCTGATGATGATATATCTCCTTCTTTTGATATAGTTATACAAAAGGTCGAACAAGCTCTTCTCATTATGAACTTCTTCTTCTTTCTTCAGATGAGTTCTTCTCATTATGAACTTCTTATTCTTTCTTCAGATGAGTTCTTCTCATTATGAACTCTACCTGGCAATGCTGATCCATCAAATGATGAATTCAAACAAAAGGTTGAACAAATTCTTCTCATTATGAACTTCTTCTTCCTTCTTCAGATGAGTTCTTCTCATTATGAATTTTCTCTGGAAAAGCTGATTCATCAAGTGATGGATTTGAGCAAAAGGTTGAACAAATTCTTCTTATTATGAATTTCTTCCTCCTTCTTCAGATGACGAGTTCTTCTCATTATGAACTCTACCTGGCAATGTTGATCTATCAAATGATGAATTTAAACAAAAGGTTGAACAAGCTCTTCTCATTATGAACTTTTTCTTCCTTTTTCAGATAAGTTCTTCTCATTATGAACTTCCTTTTGAAATGATAATCCATCGAATGATGAATTTAAACAAAAAGTTGAACAAGTTCTTCTCATTATGAACTTCTTCTTCCTTCTTCAGATGAGTTCTTCTCATTATGAACTCTACCTGGAAATGCTAATGTTGATCTATCTTTTTCTGTGATAGAATCAAGCAAAAAGGTTGAACAAGCTCTTCTCATTGTGAACTTCTTCTTCCTCTTCAGATAAGTTCTTCTCATTATGAACCTTCTGGCAATGCTGATCCATCGAATGATAAATTCAAGCAAAAGGTTGAACAAATTCTTCTCATTATGAACTTCTTCTTCCTTCTTCAGATGAGTTCTTCTCATTATGAACTTTCTCTGGAAAAGCTGATTCATTAAGTGATGGATTTGAGCAAAAGGTTGAACAAATTCTTCTTATTATGAATTTCTTTCTCCTTCTTTAGATGACGAGTTCTTCTCATTATGAACTCTACCTGGCAATGTTGATCTATCAAATGATGAATTTAAACAAAAGGTTGAACAAACTCTTCTCATTATGAACTTCTTCTTCCTTTTTCAGATAAGTTCTTCTCATTATGAACTTCCCTGGTAATGCTGATCCATCGAATGATGAAGTCAAGCGAAAAGTTGAACAAGTTCTTCTTATTATGAACTTCTTCAGATGAGTTCTTCTTATTATGAACTCGCCCTGGTAATGTTGATCCATCGAATAATGAATTCAAGCGAAAAGTTGAACAAGTTCTTCTCATTATGAACTTCTTCTTCTTTCTTCAGATGAGTTCTTCTCATTATGAACTCGACCTGGTAATGTTGATCTATCGAATGATGAATTCAAGCGAAAAGTTGAACAAGTTCTTCTCATTATGAACTTCTTCTTCCTTCTTCAGATGAGTTCTTCTCATTATGAACTCTTCTGGAAATGTTGATCCATTGAATGATGGATTTGAACTTTGCTAAAATCTTTGAAATTCCTGTCAAATATTCAACATGGATAAAATGAATGAAAATGCTCCTATTTTGCAAATGTCTAAATATGATGCATGAATGTTGATGCAATCTTCATTTGAATTCAAAATGGTGAACTCGGTTTTCCTCCACTTCATCATTTATTGCCAGGGTCACCTCTGGATATCAGTGTAGCAACTTATGATATCAAGCTTGCATTTCTGAAGAACCATCTGATCAACTTGTATCTTTATGTCTTCTTTGCTTCATGAAAGTCTCAGAAGAAATGTTTCATTTGTGGAACTCTTGTCGTAGTCAGAATTATGACCTTGATGCCCCATTTTGTCTTGGATAAAACCAACTTTATTTGCTTGGAGTTGTGCAGAAATCTGATAAAGCTTTCATCTTTGAAAAGAGAATCTGTCATCTTTAAAAAGAGAATCTATCATCTTTAAAGAGTGTATATGTAGGTATGCCTGACTCAGTAGGGATTAATTAAGAGAGTAGAGTCTGTTCTGATTTGACTCTTGAAACATATCACAAGTAGGTTTTATCCTAATTCCTTTCATGTCTCCACATCTAATCCAATTTCGAATACGGCAACTTGGACCATATCATGTCGAGATGTTTAACAACAACCTGTCATTCAACCTTAGTTGGTGCCATTAGTTTCTTGTTGTTTAAAATTTTAGCTCTCCTTTTGTGGAAAGAAATCTTCATCATATCTCACTTCTATCCTTGAGGTTGAAGAAGACAAACTTCATCTTGGACCAATAAATGGAAACCATCTGATCACAACATTGGTTCAACATCAGAATGACTGGTTCGTAAAACATTTGTCAATACATTCATCATCTCATGTGGCTTCTGCTCGAATTGCTTTAATGAAGCTCTTTGCATGGTGTTCAAAATTTTTGTATGATGTCACAAGACCACTTGAGAACAAAACTCAATGGGAATACAAGTGAAATACTGGTATGACCAAAAAGTTGGTCAAATTCACAAAATGTACTGGTGTCGAATTGAATAGGAGACATTAATTGATCTTGATATCATCTCGGGCAAAAGCAAGTGTGATACTAATCACGTTTTCTTCTATAATGAGCGTTGTAGGAATTAGAAACACATCCACTATAAGAGCCATGTATGGAAAGATATCCATAGAATTCTTGCTGCTGGGGATGAAACGCACATGATAAAACCCAAAATAGATAAAAATTCAGTTCAGCCTGGCTGGCAATGATAACCCCAGTATCATCGGGAAAGAGCAATATATATGAGCTTCTCTCTTTAATGTCATCAAGTAAACAAAACTGGTGTGAAAAACAGCTTTGTAACCTCAACAGTATGGTTGAAACTAACTGACAGGAATCTCAAAGAAATATTTCTAATCATCACCGATACACGGAATACAAAACTCAAAGCTGAGATTTTGAGGAACTGAATCCTAGATCGAATGGTCTGCTTGGGGACCATCTTTATTCATGCAACCATGATATAGCTTAACAAAAAACACGTTGTCATGTGATACATGGTTAAGAAGATTGGGTACTTGAAACCATACTTGCTGAGTAGATATTTGTTCAACAACATGATCATAATGTAACTGCCTGATGAACGAAGCAATAATGTATAGATAGCTTGACTGTCACTGTTTTACCCTTTTCATTCTTAATATCTTTCTGTCTCATTGGAAATATTTTCTCAAATCAATGATTTTTAACACATGATGATATGGGCCTTCAGCATGTCCCAACATTGCTGATACGAAACGTTAAAAAAATGCATCAACAGTCCTAATTCTGATTGAAATGGGCTTTCAGCATGCCCCAATATTTGCTTCTTGTTAATCTGAGCCTTCAAAATGCCCCACATGGATCTGTCTGAATGAACCTTTAAAATGCCCCAATATTTGTTGATACAGATGTTAAAAGTGTGCTCAACATTACTTCTTGTTGAGATGAGCCTCCAAGAATGCCCACATATTCATATTGTTGTGAGCCTTCAAAATGCCCCAATATTCTATTTCTGGTTGAAATGGGCCCTCAAGATGTCCCTCTAGATCTGTCTGATTCACTCTCAATGTCTGTTTGACTGAAATGTCATGATCCCCACGAGGTTCAATTTTGACAATGAACTGTTGTAGGTACTTGTAGCTTTATTCGTGCCCCAAATATGTTTATCTTGAATACACTCATTCTGGTGTCACTAAACATTAGTATTGTCAAGTAACTGGAGAAATTCTCTTCATGTTGTCACAAACTTAAGAAGTACTCAATCATTCTGTTTGAAATATGTGTATTCTGAATGAGGTGACCATTTTGTGTATCTGGAGGGATTTAGTCAGACAGTGAAGTAAAAATAGCTTGGTAATCCGTTCCAGGCTGACATAGTGTCTTATCATCTTTCAGTGAAGGCCATCTCTGAAATATACTTTTCTGTGGGAAAGAAACCAATTTCTGCAAACAGTAATCTGATGCAATAGCAAGACTACATATACAGTGGTACATGCTCTTCAAAAATCCACACCCATGCAACATGTTGATTCTGATAACAATTCATCTGATTATGAAGCGATCTTTTAGGATGATTTCACAGATATTGATAGTTCTTCTAATACCGAGGAAATCCTGAATTCTGATTCTGATGAGGAGAATAAATTGTTATACTTGACGAAAATGGGATATTCAGAGGTTGAGGCTTCAATAGCCATGGAGAGATGTGGTCTGAATTCATCAATTGCAGCGTTGACAGATTTTATATGTGCTGATCAACTGGCTAAGGCTACTGACACACTTCTTCCGGTAGAAGATAGGAAGCCATTATGCAATGATCCCAATTACAGGAAAAGGCGAAACTTGGGCTATGATTTTCTTAAAAAAGAAGAAGCAGGGGAAGCTTGAAAAGAAGCTTCTTAATGAAGATGATCATGTTCATCTTTCAAATCCAATGATTAGTTTTGAGGTTCTTACCGAACCAGATCAGATAGCTCAAAGAACACTTCCAGAAGATGCTATTGGGTCTCCTTATTTCTACTATGAGAACGTGGCACTTGCTCTAGTTAATATTTGGACTGGAATATCACAGAACTTATTCGATGTAGAGCCGAAATTTGTAGATTCAAAGTATTTTTGTGCTACTGTACGGAAAAGGAGCTATATTCATAATCTGCCAATTGAGAACAGATTTCCTCTTCTTATGCTTTCTCCATGCACCATACAGGATGCTTTTCTCTTGACAACAAACTGGTGACCTTCCTGGGATAAAGTTGAACTGTTTACAAACATGTACAGGAAGTGCCAAATTGACAGAAAGGATCTTTAAGGCTCTTGAAGCTTATGATGATGAGCCATCTTCGAGTATCCAGAAATATGTTCTTGATGAGTGCTGAAAATGGAATCTGGTATGGTTTGGAAGGAATAAAATTGTTCCACTTGAACCCGATGAGGTGGAAATGCTTCTAGGTTTCCCTAAAAACCATACATGAGGATCTGTATAGAGACATGTTCCATGGTGGTATCAATGTCCTGTCTCTTTTCTCTGGGATCAATGATGCAGAAGTTGCCTTTTACTGTCTTGGTATACTTTTGAAAACAGATGTGCAAGAACTGAATGATGATCAGTTTGAGCAATTTATGAGTAGTTTTGTCGAATTTGACCTTGTTGTCAGTGGCATCCAGCGTAACAATCTTACTGGAAGAAATAAACATCATCAAGATAAACTAGATGATTTTTGTTGGTGCATTTTCTTGCAATGACTGCTACGACAACTGTCTCTTCAGCTGCTCCAATATATCCCACTCTTTTCAAATCATGGAAAGGTTTGGCTGATAGTAAAACTGGTTATCTCATCTTTTGTAATCATGTAACCAATGTTACCCAATATGAAAGGCATACAAATGTAGAATCTGTTTCAATGTCTTATTATGTGCCATAAGTTCTCAATCTCAAATTCAGCAATCTTCTGAAGGGCATAATGGATATCATCTTGACAAAGAAAATGATTGGCATGAAAGAAGTAGCAATGATGTATCAAGACTTGAGTCAACATCACAGTATAACCAGAGTGCAGGTAGTGACTTGTTCATGGCTCTATGATGTAATTTTCTAGAGAACGTGGATTGATGGTTGGGGAAAATAATCTGTCTGGTGATGTTTATCGCCCTCAGCATGCGATAAACGATAATATTTCTTGCTGAGCTACTAATAATGTCATAGGAGAGTGTCACAAGATCAATTCTCCAGACTTTCTGGCTTCTTGGACCTCTTACCTTTAAAAATGTGAAGTGCTTCATTATTCTGGCCTCGTTCATTCTTTTTCTACAACAGAGGTAGAATAAGCAACAATTGCTTCAAGGACCTTTCTCATTTGAGACTGTCCTGTTTGAAAATGTTTTTTTCTCCTTTCTTTATTGAAGAATGAAAGAATTTTGCAAAGTATTACCCCTTTCAGGTTCACAATATAATCGAATCATAAACAATGAGTTTAATGAATATTAAATAAATCAACTACACTTTTAAATTATTCAAAAATCATAGTTCTATGGCAAGTGTCAAAATTATTGACTGATTTGAGGTGTAGGTTGATTTTGGTAAAATAGGTTCTTTCAAGTTGGTTCAGTATGTCGCTTCGGCTTCCGCTAACTTGAAGAAAAGGTTGTTATGCTCATCTTGCAAAGATGCTTCTCGTTTCCAAAATCTCAGGAACGTCTTTGGGATGATGCAGTGCTTTTTTTTAAGAGCTTAAAATCGTCTCTTATGTCGTTGTTGCACCATTCAATATTCGAGCCGCCTTTTCAGGTTTTCAACTCGAATCCTCCTTTGGTTTCAAAGATGTTATTTAAAAATTTATATCTTGAACCCTCCTTTTATCATTTTTCATATCATGCATTAAAGATTTTAAAAACCAATTTTTGTAAATAAAAATCAATCTTGAGAGGCGGAATGAATTCTGAAAATATTCTCTTTTACTTAGAAATCCATGTATGATTAAAATGGACTTTTCAGGTACGTAACGTAGGCCATGGCTTATGGTTATGAAAGAAAGGGATAAAAAGGCCCAAATAAGTGTTTATGGGTAATCAAACCAAGGATCAATTCATTCTGATGCCATCAATCTTGTTTTGTTTGACTTGGATCTGCCTTGCTGGGGATTTTTCCATCATCTGGATCCCTCTAGACTGTCAAATTTTGGATTAATTTCCATTTTCTCATATCTCCAGCATTTCTTGCTCTTCTTGTTTGTACTTGATCAACCTTGTAACTTGAGGCTCAATAAGTCATCCATCTTGATTCAATTTTTTTTTTCTTTGATGGATGAGTATAATACTTCAATTGTTTTGAGCACCTCCTTTTCCTTTTGCATTTTGGAGGTTTTCCATTATTCTTGATTGGATTGATCTTCAAGCACTCTGTATTTGACATACTTTGTAGTTCAAAACTTTCATGACTTCATGGAAACTTGTCTTCGTAATAAAAATGTATTGACAATCTTTATTCTTGTGAGCAAATATCCTTCACCTTGCCCCCTAATATGGAGGGTGATCCTTGGTTAGGGTTGAATCAGAAGAAAAATCATTCAGGCTCAAGTGGGGACAACAAAGGATATATATATATATATATATTAAAGGATAAATGAAACAATGTCGTTCATTATCTCATACACTGAAACCTTTGTAAAAAGAGGTATCTCCAGGGGGATGAATATTCAAGATTAATTTTACTTACATGAAAAATGTAGTTAATGCATGATATATTTATTTCAATCAATCACTTTCTCCTTCTTCTTTGAGTATGCCCTAATCACTCGAAATTATCATCAATGAGTTGGTCCATGATGCCTCATCTTGTCTCTTATTGCAGTAAAATTCACGGATAATTGGAAGTTTGGTTCTTTTGAGGTTTTTTGGTTTATGATGGTTTTGTGTTTGGAAGGATAAATGTGTGACTCTTAAAGTCATGTATATAGTGGAAGGTAATATCATCAATTAACTCTACCCGAAAAGGTAAACATCTAGAGTTGATGTCTCAAAAACAAGTGGAGACATTACTTCAGAGTCTCAGATAAATATAGTGTCAGGATTTGGTTTTGGTAAGGGTCGAGTAATTGGCATTGGATATGGGATATTGAAGATATAATTTTACCACTTGCCAATAGATCTATAACTCTTGAAAAATTAAAAGAATATTTAATCTACTTGATACTCAATAATCTCAAGATTAAAATTTGACTCATTGTTCATAACCATAAAAGACACATATTTATTTATTGTACAAAAGGTGGAGAAAAGAACAAAAACATATTCAAACAAGATGCTGAAAATAGAAAGTACTACAGTGGTAGATAACACTTCCACTTGTTTATGTATCATTACTCCTCTAATGTTGGGTGTGTACTTGGCCCAGGATTTTTATCCTTATTTGCCCCCCATTTCTTGATCATTTCTTGTGTCAAGACTCCTTTGTCGATGAGCGTCTCTATTTCCTTTAACAGTGACCAATAATTCCCTGTTGAATGTCCAAATACTCCCAAGTGAAAATTACAAAAGCTATTTTGATCATAGCAATGGGCATAAGGCTTTGGTGACACCTTTACCAATCTTGGTGTAATGTATTGACCTTTAACCAAATGAGGGGGTCTGAGATAGATTCTTGAAACACCTTCAGAGTTTTTCTCGCTCGCGAGGCTATCACTTTCTTTGATCGTTCTGAACGAATGAATGCTCTCATGTTATCGAGGGGGTTCTGAATGCTCATTTCAGCTATAACTGGGGTAATATTAACCAGATTTCTTAAGTTGTCCTTTGCCTTACTGGTTTTCAGAAAATCTGATACATGTATATGAGGTGTCTTCTGAGTTATATCTGCCTCATTCTTTTGTAGACCTATAGGCCAATCTCGAATTACATCCATGGGAGCCTTTTGATTTCTTTTCCCATTTTCTTGTGCCCGATATTCTTCGTAGGATTTGGTTACATTAGTTTCTGTTGCAACAACGGTTTCTGAACATTGAACCTTAACCCCTTCTTTTATCTTGCATTTTTGAATTGCTTGCTCTAAAGGGTCTTGGAAATTTCCCTTAAGATTACCAGGAACCTTAGCTGAACAATTTGGAATTCCAGTCTGATTTATCCAAGGAACTTCCTTATAAGTCCAATTCTCATTTGGAGGCCACTGTGATTGATCAAGTTATGGAGTAATTGATCTGGCTGAGAGCATTTTTGGATGCAATTTTTCACTCGAACAGTGGAAGGGAGGAAATTGAAATCCTTGCACATTTTTTTTCTTGATCACTCTATAAGGTTTGGCACCATGTTTAACTGAATAAGACCTCACTGTATTAACCCCAGCTTCTTTCTTGACTTTAGTATTGTCAGAGCCTCTTATCTTGCCATTCTTGATAGCCATTTCGATGATTTCTCCACTTATGATGATGTCAGAGAAATTATTAGGGGCAACCCCTATCATGTGATTAACATAAGGAAATTTTAATGTGCTGATGAACAAAGTAGTGAACTCTTTTTCAGTCAATGGTGGATGTACTTGAGAAGCAACGTCTTTCCATTGTTGTGAATATTGTCGAAAGCTTTCATTGCACTTCATATTCATGCTTTGCAACATTGTTCGATCAGGGGCCATATCAGTCATGTGCTTGTATTGACCCAAAAAAGCTTGAGCTAAATCCCTCCAAGAACTTATTTGAGTACGTTTTAGCTGATTATACCATCTGGATGCAGACCCAGATAAACTGTCTTGGAAACAGTGGATCAACAATTTTTCATTCTCTACATAGCCAGTCATACGACGACAATACATAGTGATATGATATGAATGGCATGTGGTCCCATTATACTTCTCAAAATCTGGAACCTTGAACTTTGATGGAATAACCAGGCCAGGGACCAAACTTAGTTCTTTGGCATCAAACCCATAAAATGACTCAACTGTCTCTATAGATTTTATCACCTCTTCTATATTTTCCAGTCGTTGAGTGAATTTTTCCTTCTCAACTGATTTGTTTAGGTCAAGGACCTCATTACTAATACAAAATTCATCAGGTTTCAACTCAGAAGTAGTAGGACAATCAGTGGGGAATGATGCTCCAGCTTGATATGGTGAGTTCTTAACAGCGAAGTAAATCGGTGATTGAATTTCCTGGGGTACAGAGGTGAACTCAGGAATATGAACATGTATAACACCCAAAGAATTTATGGGGTTTTCAACAAGACTCTTTCCAGCGGTCTGGTGCTTCTCAATCATTTATTTCATATTGTTCAGTAGATTGATATGAGAATTTGTGATATTAGCTTCAATTTGTGCCAACTTGCTCCTCAATTCCTCTTATTTTTCTTTCTGCTCTATCTCAAATTTGGCTAGCCTATCCTCAGTTTCTTTAGACATTTTTCTTGTGTCGTGCTGAGCATTCTTGCTTCAATGAAAAACCAAGATCACTTCGTTTGAAATCCTTATTTTAATGAATGAATGTTTTAATGTATTATGACATAAAAATGCAAAGATGCCAAATGCAAACGTAAATATGTGAATGTAATAATAAGAATACAAATTGTGCAATACAAAAGCAAACATAAAAATACAAATGCAAAGATGCAAATGTAAATATGCAAATGTAAAAATGTATATTATTTAAAATACCAGAATAGGACATCCAGTTATATTAAGACTGCCCTTTTTCTTTGATATTGAAAATAAATAAACATTATTATTTAATTAAATATGTTTTAATACATGATGTAAGTTTAAAAATGTAAATGTAAATACAAACGTAAAAATGTACAGATGCAAAATATAAATGCATGTATGCAAAGGTGTTACTCAAGAGTGATCATTTTAGAACAGATTTCATTGAACACAAAAGTTTTAGTATATCAAATAAAACTTTACATATATGGGACATCTTTCAGTCCTAACTTCTTTAAAGCCAAGTTAATTTCATTTATGCTCAATAGTTGAATTATCAGTCCGCTTCATTTCCTTGTAAAATCAGGTTGGTCTATCAGCTTTTGGGTCATATTGCTTTTCTGGACTGCAACTTCTTCCATGACATTCTCTTTCATCTTCTGTATCAATTATTGGAGTTGCTTATTTTCCCTTGTAAGAGAACCTTTCTATCCAAGAAGTTCTTGAACAAGATCTTCATATAAGTTGCAGTTCTTTTTCAGCTTGGTGACCCCTGTGATCCACTCTTCTGGGGTGCTTCCTAGGCCAGCATTTTGAAAGGCTCGACTGATCTTCTGAAAATCTTCATGCATGGTTTTCATTTCTGTGCTCAATTTCTTGTTTTGGTCGTTCAAGTCCTTCAAATAACATGTTTGAACTTCATAAAAACCTCCTCCACTCTGAATGCCCTGACTGATGCTCTTACCATAGACTGTTTTTGGTATCAATCTGGCAGAATCTTTGTGGAGTACTTTTGGTATTAATATAACAGGATCTCTGTGTGCATTGCTTGCTTCCATCCTTGTAGTTTCTTCAGGATGTCTTTCTTTGGCCGCATCATATTTTGTTTGATCATAAAACTTTTTGTTCATTTACGATTTCTTTCCAATTTGATGAACAGTCTTTCAAGTCAACACCTTTTGGTTATGTCATGATCATGTAATGCAGGCACAAAACAAAAGAAATCAATATAAACAAGTTAAAACAAAACAAAATGTATGAAAAATAAAAATGAGAAAGGAAATAAATAAATTGGTAAGTACCAATTAATGAAAAGAAAATATTCTACCTATCATGGTATATAATATATCCTAACCTCATGCTTTCTAGTTCCATGCTTTGTTTGGAAAAATTAACCTAATAACATGATTACTAATTCGTAGGCATTTATTCAGAGAGAAAGATAATAAATTAAATAAATTAAAAGCTAGAGCTTATTTCTTCTTTGTGTACACCTATGGACAGGGTTTCAGTACTTCTTAGATCAGGTGAAGTGCTAGAGTTTATTATATGCAGGGTTTCATTTCTAGGAGTAAAGGTACCCGAATTGTCCTTGTTAGTACCCCCTTGGACTGCTAACCCTCTATCCTAGTCCATCACAGACTAAAGTGGATCGAGTTCAATTCGAGGGGATACATTTCTCTATGCCTGACACGGAGAATAAATTCTCACGAAGATATAGAGCATATGAACCCCGAAAGCTACTTGCTAGGTCTGACACGGAGAATAAATTCTCACGAAGACGTCGCTTTCACTCCCACTTAAAAAAGGACAAGCTTGATTAGAAAGCTTTATGTTATGCAATACAAGTGTTGTGTGTGAGGAGAAATGTTCAAACCTCTAACAGATAAATAAAATAATTAATACCTGAAAAAAATATTAATAATATAAAAATAATAAGTAATAAAAAATTTGAAAGAAAAGAATTAAAAATTAAATAAATAAATTTTTAATTTCTAATTAATAGAGACAATTTATAATTAATTTTTAAGTTTGACGGTCCCCAGCAGAGTCGCCAAGCTGTCGTAACCGGTTTTCGTCCGGGCACGAATTTTTTTTTACTTGGCGGGAAAAGTGATGTGAATAAATGGTTTTTTTTAAATAATTTGGGAGTCGCCATCGGCCTTTTGGATCAGGCAGGTCAAATACCTAAAAATCATCCTTTAAAAGAGTTTTTAACAAAACATCGATTAAAAGATAAGCTGATATGCGTTTTAACCAAAAATTCATTCTTTTTAATAATAAAAAAGGATCCGTGGTCGGTTACGTTTAGGGAAGGATTAGCACCCCCTACAACGCCCAAAATTGGTACTTTTTAATTATATATTGTCTCTATTATTAGAAATTTAAGAATTCAAAGATATATTTAATTTATAATCCTATTATTTCAAAATTATAATTATGAAAAAATATTAATTTTATATATATTTATAAATAAAATATTTATTTATTTAGAAATATCAGAAAATGACTTCTAGGTGCCTTAAGACAGCTCTTTTCTTTGATATTAATAAATAATTAATTATAAAATAGGATATTTAGTAAAAATATCAGAAAACGGACTTCTAGGTGCTTTAAGACAGTCCTTTTCTTAAAAATAAATATATATTAAAATATGATTATTAAAAGTGATTTATGAAATATAGGATTTTAACAAATAAACAAATATTATATATATATATATATATATATATATATATATATATATAATAAAAATAATAATAATGAAATAATATTTAAAAATAATAATAATAATAATAAAATAATATTCCAAATAATGATTAAAATAAAAGGAAATAAAAATATAGTATTAAAAAAAATCATAGTCAAAAATAAAAATTAATGATTAAAATGTAAAATTATAAAACTAGAGTCCTAATTCGAAATATTATAAAACTTGAGTGCTAATAGGGTGATTTAACCTATATTAATAATACGAGATTAAAATAATAATTAATAAACTATGAGGGACTAAATTTGATATTTACCTATATATATATATATATATATATATATATATATATATATATATATACTGATAAGGACTAAATTAAAATAAAATAAAATTAGAAGACTAAATTAAAATAATCAAAAATTGCTTTCAGTGACTAAATTGCAAGGTATACAAATTTGGAACACTGCGGACGGGGTTTACCCTTTATGAAATTACAGAAATACCCTCCCCCAAAACGGCATCGTTTGGGAGAGGGTATTAATACCCGAAACCGGCTGGCCCGTAGGGCCAGCCTCTCATTTCTTCTTTTCTCTTATCTCTCAAACAGAGAGAGAGCCAGAGTTCTCTCTGGCTTCTCTCTAAAATGAGAGAAAGCCATCCCGGTCAGCCACCGCTGCCGGGCTCCGACCACCGCTGCCGGCCACCGTTAATGGTGGCCGAAAATTACAAAAATACACCAAAATATAGATCGGGACGATCTAAAACCGTTTTCGGTGTTCTTTTTCCTTAAAAAACTCCCAATCGGAGTAAATCTACAAAAGTACCTTCGGTTTTTGTTGTTTCCGGCGACAGTTGGGGTTCTCCGATGACAGAGTAAGTTTCTTTCCTCTCTTCTCTCTTTCTTTTTGTTGCTGCGTTGTTGTTGACTGGGATCGTTGGTAGTTTTTTTGTATCTTGTTTCTATTCTGTTTTTTTTTTGTTTTGCAGGATCCGGTGACTTTTATAGCCACCACCGGTGATGGCTTTAGACCGGTCCCAATGAGGTTGCTTAGGTGAGTCACCATAGCTATGGTGGTGACTCACCGTAGAGCTCGACATGTGGAGGGGTAGTTGGGTCTTCTGGAGCCTTTTGTTGAGGCATCGTGGCAGAGTAGACCGTCGGCAGCATCTGGTTGGGTCACCTGGCAGTGGAGTGTCGGCAATGAGCGGCGGTTGTGGCTTCTGGATGCTTGAGGCGGCGACTGGAGCTAAGGTTTAAAAACCCTAGCTGAAACCCCAAATGTTTAGGGTTTCCTTTTGGGTCTGGGCCAGTTTTGGTTGGGCCTGAGATTTGGGCTTGTAATTATTTTTTAATAATAATAATAATATATATAATAATTATAATAATAATAATAATAATAAATAAATAAATAAAATGGGTAAAAAAATTAGTATCTTCATATGGATCATGATAAGGTAGATAACTATTAGTTATTGTTACATACTTATCATAACTATTGCTTATATTTTAAGATTAAAATGTGCAAGTAAAAACAGATATTTGCTCAAGTATTCGTCAAAATGGAATCCTTCCCTCTCAAATTATTTTATATTTATATAGAAAGTTTAAAATATATAATTAGTGTACTTTTTTTATATTTTTAGGATCATTAGATTAGTAAAAATAAACTATGAAATTTTTATGTAAATATCTTCTGGTATTCTACTATCAATCTCAATTGTTTATTTTCATTAACTCGATAGTCTTAAAAAGATGTAAAACTATACATTTTTTATATTGTAAACAAATCTTATCTTTTATATATATATATATATATATATGTTGTATCAGGCATTGAGAAAGTTTTATTTAAAGTCAAACCCATATCAATCTCGATTTTGATTTCGACTATTTATTTTTATGATCTATATTAAATATGAATTTTGAAGAAAAAATATCTTATAAGATTAGATCAGGTCAATAACTGTCAAATTCAGATAAATTTTAAATTCGCAAGTATCAATCTTTAATTTTAAAGATCGTAGCTTCGAACCTCTAGAAATGCATTCTAATTTTTTTTTCTCGTTGCCACTAATAAAGTGAAGTTTTTTCTCTCATAATTACTCCTAACAAAATGACTTGTTTTAAACATTTTGAAAAATAAAATAATTATATTTTTCGTTGTCACACGTTATTACCAAATAATAATTTAACAGTATAATTATAATTTAATACTACAACTAAAATATTCGATGGTAAAATCAATATAAACTCAAGAGGAAAGGTTAATATTATTCACTTACTGTTGAACTCGTAGAAAAATGCAAAAATAGGAGATTTGGTACCTGCATAATTAATTATTTTCCAAGTAAAAGAATTTAATCTAATGGGAAACAAATCGAAAAATCCGGAACACGTTCAAACACGAAGACCCGAAAAAAGAAAACCAACCAAGACGTTATTTTCCACTGAGGGGGTGACACCGTCATTCTACTTTTCTCCAATGAACGATGCGCCGTGATCCTCTAACCCTGAAACTATGACCGATATATCAAAATCCCCATATTACCCTCCATTTCTTTTCCTTTCTTCCCCCACTTTAAACTCCTCCCTCCATAATCTCACTTCATTCCATGCAACCTTCCCTCCTCCTCCTCCTCCTCCTCTCGCTCTCTCTCTAAACACACGCTTCCTCTCTTAACCTTTTTTTTACAAGTTTTTATTAATCTGTATCTATTTTATTTTTCATTTTTACTGATTAATAGATCAATTTCGACTAGTTCTTTGCTATTTGGTTTGGCTCGCGTGAGTCATGACTCGGCGATGCTCGCATTGTAGCAACAACGGCCACAACTCCCGCACGTGTCACACGCGCGGTGGAAGTGGCGGAGTTGGCTGCGGAGGAGTGAAACTGTTCGGCGTCCGTTTGACGGACGGTTCGATAATCAAGAAGAGTGCCAGTATGGGAAATTTGTCATCAGCGCACTACCATAGCTCCTCATCAGCTGCCGCTTCGCCTAATCCGGGCTCCCCTTCATCGGATCACATCCGTGACTCGAACCACGACCATGACGGGTACCTATCTGATGAGCCCACCGCACACACTTCTGCTAATCCTCGCGGTGAGAGAAAGAAAGGTGATTATTCTAGAACGCCGTGTTTTGAGCTTGTTTTTGTTTACTTGTTCTCTCTCTCTCTCTTTTTGGTTGGAGGTATTTTAAGTTTGTTTATTTGGATTTTGGATAAAGTTTCTATTCTAGTTGTTTAGTGAGAGAGAACTTGAAGTATGTTAATGATCAACGTTATTATTTTTTTAAGATTTAGCTTTATTTATTTATTTCCAAATTAAATGAAAAATGGTTATTTAATCCTATACTCTTTTTAGTCTTTTAACTTTCTGTATATGTAAGAATTTTTTCTTTTACAATTCTCATTTTTAATGAAAATTGTATAAGAAAATTTTGCTTTCAAAATCGCCGTTTTATTTTGTGGTTTTGGAGAACATTTTGGAGTTCAGTAGTACTACAAAATGGTCTTTTATTTTTTCCCTCAAACTTCTTATAAAATGATATTAAAAAGTAGAATGCACGCTGCACAAATACTTTTAGCATGTTATGTTTAATACTTTTTAAAATCCATGAACAAAGAATGAATAAATAGTCCAGCTTGTATATATATTTTTTGGATCAAGAATCCAGCATTTATATTAAGCTAAAAAAGTTGCAGAAAAGATATTGGCTCATATTTTAGGTTTTTTTTATAACTACGGTGAATACAAGATAATATATGTTCAAAGAATTATTCGAACCCAATACCTCCGCGTAATCCCCTAACTACCGAGCTCGTTTAGTTCTGGTACTATTGTTTTCCCTGTTTCCCAATAGTCTTGCCTAGTTTTTTACATGCGTTTTATGTTCGTGTTTTGAGTAGTTTGGCCTTCTGGGGACCACGTGAATAAGGGATACTTAGATAGTTAGATGCTTTGTAATAATTGAATTTGTCTTTTACTTCACCACGTCTGAACCTGGATGAAAAGCTAATCCGTCTACTGTGCTTTATGGTTTTAAGGCTTGTTTGTGTTTATGATCTCCACTAATGTCCTAAGTGTCTTATTTACATTGCATGTCATGAGCAACTGCGTATAACAGCAGTCCTGGCAAGTGTGTGTAGAAACTGCATAGTGCCGGGTCACTAACTGCTGTTCTTAGAGCCTTAATTTTAGACTAGACCGCTTAGAATGATATTGTTCTGAACTAATGTTGTGATGGTTTATAGTTGCTAATTTCAGTTTCCCTTAATAGTAAGGTTCCTGTTAGAATTGTGAAAACTGGGGAAAGAAAGTAGTTTTTGGGTGAGAACTTGGATCCGTTTTCAACTTTAGCTGTCTTTCTTTTTTGTTTGTTTTGTTCCATACTTTAAACCTTAGATTAATGATTATATATCCTGTTCTTGTTAACTTAGTAAGGAGACTACATGCTGCGGCATGCGTTGGATAAGTTGATTGTTGTTAACTTTAGGCATGAGTTGTTTGAATGATCTATAAATAGGCTTCTTGATAAGTAATTTAGGAGAATATGGTTTTGGCTTGGAAGAGAGGCTTCAACTGTACCTTACCTCCTTATTTTGGGGAATTAGCTTAATCCTATGAATAGGGGCAAACGCAAGATTTTATGTTCGGGGGGCGAAAACAGCTTATCAATAAAAAATTCTTAAATTATATGAGTGTTTTACATTTTCAGGGGGCGGTCCCCTCAGTCCATCCCTGCCTATGAACTTAGAGCAGTGAATTCTGCTGAAACTTGTGAAGCAGACTGGGGTCTAGTCTTTGCAAGAGGATATTGTGTAGAAGCTTAACTGCACTCCAGTTTGTACTTTGTACAAATATATGTTTAGATTTGCGTTGAATTTCAATTGCAGCAACAATTGATGTGCTCTGTAGTTTAAGGTTATTCCATCACATTTCCTTATGTCGTGGCTGTTGAGGCATCTAAGTCACATGCCTCCTACAGTACAAATATTTGGGTAACTAGTTTGCATTTCTTTTAAGTGCTTATTTTAGTTATATGAATTATTGGTTTTGAGGGCAAGGAATGAATTTCCAAGCAGCCTAAAATATTGTATAGTTGCTTGTTGAACATCAACGGGTAGTTGACCATTTGTACCTTAAAATTTTGAGTCAACCGTTTCTTTTCTCTGAATTAAAAATAAAACCTTTCGAGTCACCAATGAGATAAAACAGGACTTGGAATGGTTTGTCACTTCTCTCTTTCACTAGTGGGATGGAAATATGACAACGAAATTATTGATTCTTAGCTGTGATTTTTGGTTGCTTCAGGTGTTCCATGGACTGAAGAGGAACATCGACTCTTTCTAATTGGCCTCCAAAAACTAGGGAAAGGGGACTGGCGGGGGATAGCTCGAAACTTTGTTGTATCAAGAACACCAACTCAGGTAGCAAGTCATGCCCAGAAGTATTTCATCCGTCAGAGTAATGTTACTCGAAGAAAGAGACGTTCAAGCCTTTTCGACATGGTTCCAAGTGATATGGTTTGTTTTGCTTCTTTATATGTATAAGTGTGTGTGTGTGTTTCATTTCCTAAAAATAGCAACACAGCCTATCATGCACATGATATTTGGCTTGTAACATAGTATTTTCTGCACACAACCACATGATTAATGCAAGAGAATAATTTTGTAGTGCTAAGGAGAATATCTTCGTCCATTGTCCATCACTGAAGGAATTTAACAAATGTGCATGGGAAAATAAAATCATCTCTACAACAGAAGAGATCAACAGCATATGTAATCTAGGCGAAGAATTGGTTGTGGGTTTGGGCATTGAGTTGTTGCCTTTTGTTCAAACTTGAGTTTGGGTGCTGTGTAGCTTCTGATTAACATTAGCCGCATTTGTTTTGCTAACAGAGAGCAACCTAATTTGGCCATAGGTCAGATTTGGTATCATTTTGTTTTGGTTTTTGTGTTAGCTGGGTTCATGCTGTTCTGTTCAGATTAAATTCGGGTTGGCTGCATGGTGTACCATCTGTGCTAATAAGCTGGCTTCTATATTTCCTAAACTAAATAGAATATTTTCTCTCATCGCTTCTGGTTTGATTAACTTTCATATTCTTTTGCAGGCTACAGATACACCTGCAGTCCCGGAAGAACAAGTTTTACTGCCATCTCATGTAGAAGAAGCATATAATTCAAATTCAACACCTTCATTACATCTCTCCCTCGGCTCTGAATTTGAACACACAGAAACTGCAGCACAAGAAACAGTTAATGTGACCGAAGAAACAATGATGGTATCAAGTGGACTGGCACCTATGGTCAATGGTTTCATCTCACCTTACACACCTGTTCCTTACGCATTTTGGCCACCGAATCCAGCCCCTCCGGATGAAGGGAACGGCATAGAGACATCTAAACATCAAGTACTGAAGCCAATCCCATTGTTTCCAAAGGAACCTGTCAATGTAGACGAACTAGTCGGAATGTCTCATCTTAGTATAGGAGAGATTGCGAATGGGCATATAGAGCCTTCACCGTTATCCTTGCAACTGCTAGGAGAACCATCAAGACAATCTGCGTTTCATGCAAATGCAGCAGTTGTGGCCACAGACTTGAGTAAGGACAAAACCGGTGCTATTCAAGCTGTCTGAAAATGCAAGCCAATGATTCTATCTTGTTTTGCTTAAAAATCTTAAATTTGCATTACCATATGATTATTATTTTTGAGGGTAGTAAGAAATTTCTGGGTGTTTACATTATGGGTTAAGATTATTTATGGGAAATGTTTATTCATACTAACCGTATACAAGCAATAGTGCTAATAATCAAAAGGGTAATGGTAGTGAATGCTTTCGGTCTTATATCATCAAGTCCCTTGTATATTAGGTACTTAGGTTTTACTTTTACACACTATTGTTCTGGCCTATTTCTCCCTTCTTTCCTTTGAAATTTTTGCTTCTGTTTAACATTTTTAAACATCTCAAACAATTGCTAACCTTTTCTTCATTAGATTTCATTTTTTTTATTAATCGAGGAAGGGTTTGAATTTGTATATTTTCAATCTTTTTCCTCATAATTGCCTAAACGCCCCAAAACTGAAGGTAAAGTTAAATTATGTCCTTAATCTCGTACTCTATTTAAGTTGAATATTTAGTTTGATGTTATAATTTTGTCAATTTTAACTCAATTGACATAGAATCAATATAATTAAGTTATAAGGGTTTAAAATGATTAAATTAAAAAATGAAGAATTAAACCTACAATTTACCTATGCAATAGGTGGACTAAAGATAGAATTAGACTACAAATTCAATTGTTATAGTTTGAATAAGGAATGTGTTTTTTTTTTTTAATTTAAAAGAATAAAAACTAACAAATACTAAAATAAGAGGGTAGAGATAAAATTTATAATTTAAATATATTATAAGAAGTAATTAAAAAATGATGAAAATAAAATGGAGCAAAGGTTGGTGTTGCAATATATAGAGGGCGCTTGTAAGGATATCCATTTCTCTACGTAGGAACCTTTCTGAAAATCTAAAGTATAATCCTTCTCACCTGAATTCACTAGTTTAGTTCAATCATGTGAGACATACAACCTTGGTCCTTGAATAGGCGATTCAGATGACATTTAGTGACAGACGTTGGATAATTATTATGGTAAACTAAACATGTTACAATTAATAATTAATAATAAATAAAATAAATAGTATAAATAAAAATTATATTAAAATTAATACAAACATTAGGCGTGAAAGAAATAGATTATATTTAAACATTGAAAGTGGAGGCACATTCGAAAATGTTAATGACCACTGTTCTTCCTTCAATCATTATTGGAATTTTATAAATGCCCACCAATCATTTATAATATTATTTATATTTTCATTACTTTTTGTCATCTTATAATTTCATTTACTTCTTCATCCAAATTTGAATATTAGTTTTAATTTAATTCTAATACCAAATTATTTCAGATTTGTTGAAAACATTTTGATATTTCGATATAACAAATTAAGTTAAATGAATTTTAAGATTTTCCAAATGATTTTCTAAGTATATTCGATAGAATTATTCGAATATCAGAACATTACTCCAAATCTTTCAAAGATAATTTTTAATCCTTACTCAAAGTGTAAAATTAAGTTTTAATCTTAAAACAATTTCAAAATAATTTTACAAAGTATTTCGAACCATTTCAAAGCCAAAAATTCCATATTGCTCAGAGAGAACCGATTCCCCCCTGAATGGTTTGGCTCCGAGAATTCCAGTATGCTCGGAGGGAACCGATTCCCCCCAGGGGGTACCGATTCCCCCCTTGTGTAACGGTCGAAATATTTAAATTTTACACTTAGGAAACCGATTCCCCATAGGGGGTACCGATTCCCCCCACGCTCCAAGCTGTTTTATTAATTGTTTTCACACTAAAACGGCTATATAATCTTCACTAATCATCCCAACGTTCAGAAGTGATTCAAGGTGTATTTAAACAAGTTCTGAAGCCCTTGATCAACAAGAAATTATAGAGAAACAAGAGAGAAAGCATCAAACACCAAGTTTGTGCAAATCAAGCCAATTTTCCTTTCAATATTCATTTTGCTTTCAAAGAACACCATTTGTGCTCATTTGTAATTATTTGTGAGTGTTCTTTTCTTGTTCTAGAATTGTGCAAACATCTTACCTTGAGAGGTTTTCCTTGTAAGTTTGCAAATTTGTAATATTCTCTTTGGGAAAGAGTGTTCTCAAGAATTGGGGTATATTCTTGAGGGTGTTGTAAGGTTATCTCTTTGGCCTCAAAAGAAAGAGCAAATTAGTGAATTTGTTGGAAAATCCTTAGTGTGGATAGCTAAGGTAGTAGACGTAGACTTTGATTGAGAAAGTCGAACCACTCTAAATCGTTGTGCAATTACTTTCAATTTTCTGCAAAAGCTTCCACCAAATTTTTAATTGCCAATTCATACCCTCTTGGCCAATTCCGTCAATCGATTAACTCAACAATTGGCATCAGAGCCTAACTCATTTGAAGGTTTTATCTCATCTTGAGTCGATTCGGGAAGAGTTATATCGATAATCAAAGTCATCAATGGCCTCCGCTTCAAACTTCGACTATGGTCTCGACTCGATGCCCGTCAACAAGCCTCCTTTCTTTAATGGAGCTAACTATGCTTATTGGAAGAATATAATGATGTACTTCATTCAAGCAAGTGACATGGGAGCATGGAATGCTGTAGAAGAATGATACATCAAACCTCTCACTCATCCAAGGTTGTGGAGTGAAGGAGAGACAAGAATGTTCCAGCTCAACTCCAAAGCCATCCATATCATTTTTTGTGCTCTTGGACCAGATGAATACGGAAGAGTTTCATCGTGTACAACCGCCAAAGAAATATGGGACAAACTTCAAGTCACTCATGAAGGTACCGATGAGATAAAGAAATCTAAAATTAGTATTGTAACGCATAGCTATGAAAATTTTAGGATGAAACCAATTGAAGATATCAAAGCTATGAAGGATAGATTTTCAACGATTGTCAATGGTCTCAAATCATATGGAGAGATCATTTCAAATGAAAAGCTTGTGAGGAAGTTAGTCTACTCCCTCCCAAAATCGTGGCAATCAAAGAAGACGGCAATCATCGAGTCTAAGGACTTAACATCCTTAACTCTTGAAGAGCTAATTGGGTTACTCCTCACTCATGAAATGATGCTCGAAGATGAGGTGGACCTCGACAAAATTGACGAGACACCAAAGGAGAAGAAGAAAAACATTGGAGTTGCTCTCAAATCCACAAAAGATGAGAGTGATTCGAATAACGATGACGATGACGAGGAAATGGCATTGTTTGCCAAACGGTTCAGAAAAATGATGAGACCTTATCGAGGAAGAAAATTCAAACGAAATGAAGGCCTAAAAAATAAACCGAAAGAGAAGGACCCAATCATTTGCTACGAATGCAAAAAGCCAGGGCATGTCAAATATGATTGCCCACAATTGAAGAAAAAGGGCCACTCAAAGAATAAGCACAATGCTCATGTGGCTACATGGAGCGATGAAGAAAGTTCTGATGAAGAGGAACAAGAAGTAGCTAACTTGTGCTTGATGGCATTTGGGGAAGATTATAAGGTAACCTCTAACTCATCCGATTTTGATGATTTATCCTATGATGAGTTATTAGAGGAATATAATGGGTTGGCTTTGGATTATGAGAAATTATTTTTAAAATATAAAAATGATGTTTCAAAATTGAAAAATGAAAACAAACTCATATCCAAAACCAACAACGATCTTGAAAGTAAAATCAAAGATTTGCAAATCAAACTAGAAGAGTTTGAAAAGAAAAATTTAGATTTGCAAAATTTATTTTCAAAGATCAATGATGATCTTCAAAAGAAAATTGATGATCTTAAAACTTCTTTTGATAAAGTTGGAACAAAACATTTTGAAAAAGGTGGAAATTCAAAATCCAACTTTGTTAGAAAAAGTTTTAGAAACTACAATCATAGAGGTCCCCAAAGAACCTCTAATGGAAAACTCGTTAGAAGTATGTGGGTTCCTAAAGAACTCATTACTACTAAAGATAAAAATATCCTACACAAATGGATACCTAAGGGGACTAGGATTTTGGAAACTAATGAATATGGACCCAAAAGAATTTGGGTACCAAAAATCAAAAATTAATCTATGTTTGTAGGGAAAGGAGCATTGCTACAAGGCACGGGAAACAAATTCAAATTCATGGTACCTTGGTAGTGGATGCTCAAGACACATGACCGGAGACAAAAGCCGATTCATTGAGCTTAACGCCAAAAATGGAGGAGAAGTGACTTTTGGAGACAATTCAAAGGGTCACATTGAAGGTATTGGTACAATAGGTATACATCTTCCATACAAATTAAAATGTGAATAAATTAAATCATAATCTATTGAGTATTATTCAACTATGCGATAAAGGATTCAATGTCTTATTTGAAATTAATGGTTGTAAAGTCATTGACATTGCATCTAATCAGATTATGCTTGTTGGTCATAGAATAGGAAACATATACATGGTGCATTTAAATTCTTTTGATATGACTAATTTATGCCTAGTTGCTAAGGATGAACATGATAGTTGGTTATGGCATAGGAGACTAGGACATGCTAGTATGAGTGTTTTGCAACGGTTAATTCAAGGAGACCTAGTAAGAGGGTTGCCTAAGCTTAAATTTGATAATGATAAAATCTGTGATGCTTGTGCTAAAGGAAAACAAAAGTGAGTTTCTTTTAAATCCATTAATGATGTATCAACTAGTAGAGTTTTACAATTGATCCATTTAGATCTTTTTGGGCCAACTAGAACTACTAGCTTGGGTGGAAAACAATATGCATTTGTCTTGGTAGATGACTATTCTAGATATACTTGGGTTCTATTTTTAAGTACTAAAGATGAAGCATTAGAACAATTCATCACGTTTTCAAAAGTAATCCAAAATGAAAAAGGTTACTCTATAACTAGTGTTAGGAGTGATCATGGAACTGAATTTGAAAATCTTGGATTTACTGAATTTTATAACTCTAATGGTATTAGCCATAATTTTTCAGCACCTAGAACCCCTCAACAAAATGGAGTTGTTGAGAGGAAAAATCGAACTTTAGAAGAAATGGCTAGAACCATGCTTTGTGAAAATAATTTGCCAAAATATTTTTGGGCGGAAGCCACAAATACCACTTGTTATGTTGTAAATCGAGTAATGATTAGGCCAATTTTAAAGAAAACTCCATATGAAATTTTCAAAAATAAAAAGCCTAACATTAGTTATTTTCATCCTTTTGGATGTAAATATTTTGTTTTAAACAACGGTAAAGAAAACCTTGGCAAATTTGATGCTAAAAGTGATGAAGGAATTTTTCTGGGTTATTTCTTAAATTCTAAAGCCTATCGTGTATTTAATAAAAGAACTTTAGTTGTAGAAGAGTCTATACATGTT